AGGTATCCTAGGGGCGAAGGACACAAGGTATCCCCCGCTACCACCTCTACTGGGTATGGTTGACACGCGGCCGCCCTCTCCTTCTCACCTTGCAATTGCAGGTGAGGTCACTTGAGGAGGCCGAGTTGGTGACCCGAGATTTCGTTTCGCGTCTCGTTGCTAGGGTGGCGGGGATGAAGAGGGGGGAGGGGCAGGAGAGGAGATGGGGGGAGGGGAGGGGAGGGCAGGGGAGGAGAAGAGAGTGGAGGGAGGGGAGGTGAAGAGAAGGGGGGGAAGGGGGAGTACTGCGTGTATTTAGGCGATACACTTTGCGGTTTGCAGTTCCCCGAGGCAAGTCGTCTACGCGAAGAGGTATTTTGCGGTTTTATCTGCACGCGTTACAAGATTCCTCCTCGAGTCCAGTATTCGAGTACGGCACAGGGAGTTACTTATCGTTACTTCGTTGCAATGCACTTGCTTCTACTCCGCTTATCCAAAAACAAACATACGGTGCGTGTACGTTACGCGAAGACGGCCCTGCTACAATAAACCTGTTTCTCGGCTTGATGTAATCGTGGCCCGAGGCCGCTCTTGACCATGATGATACCGGCTTGGTACTCCTAGCGGGACCCTCAGCATTTTATACACACGGCGCGCTCGGGAGTGGAATTGCGCGCTCGGCCCTTCTGTCTGTTTCTTTGATGTTGATTCTGCAATCTCTCGGTCGATGTGCAGCCTGTACTCATTTCGTGTTTCTTCTGTCCTCAGGGTTCTCAACATGGGGGAAGAAGATGGGCAAGAAGCTGGAGCAGCTGACCCGCGGGGAGAGCAAGGAGCACATCCATTTCCCCCTGGGCTCCACACGCACCCGCCGGAGGAACTGGCGGCCCAACAAAGACGCGGAGACGCCGACGTCGGGCGCTAAAGACGCCGCCCCCACCGCCCGCCAGCCCCGCCGGGCCAAGGTGGACCGCGTGGAGAGCATCCGAAACCTGTTCCGGCGATCTCGTAGCTGGGACTCGGCGAAGGACCTGGAGGACCTCCCGCCGGCGCCGAGGGTCGCCAAGGCGGCGCCCGAAGCGAGCTCCGCCGGCGGGAGCCCGAAGAGCGCCGCGGCGGACGACCCGGACAATGTGTACGAGTCGCTCAAGGACATAGACCGCGAGCCAGTGAGTGCGAAGGGGACGGTGCTCTTCAGGAGCGCCTCCACGTCCCACCTGCCGGCGCTGGAGGCGGGCATGGACGTCCTGGGCAGAGGGGAAGCGAGGGAGGGCGCGGGAGGGGACGGCGGGGCGGAGGCGGGAGACCTGGGCGAGGGCGAGTGTGAACTCAAGGCGAATGACGGTGATAAGACGACCAAGAAAGGGCAGTTTCCGTATGCGTTTCTCAGATCCAGACTTACCTCGGTCGCGGAGGAACAAGCGACCGCTAGGGAAGAGTGTGGTGACAGCGGGCGTGGCACCGGCAGCCACTGCGGCAGCATATCCGACGTCAGAACCTCCTACTCGGAGACGTCGGACTCCAAATCGTCCTTTTCGGAAAACTCGGACACGAAGTCGTCTTGCTCCGATTCGTCGGAAAACACGAAGTGGACTCGCGAGGAGGAGGAGGAGGAGGAGGACCTGGAGGAGAGGGGCAGCGGGGGCCGGAGGGAGGGGGAGGGGCAGGGCGACGCCGTCCCCAGGGACATCATCTCGCCCATCCCGGCGCCCACAGGCTTCGGCGACGGGGACTTCGTGGTGACCGTGCGAGTGAAGGGCTCGGCCGCCGACGAGGGGAGGTCCTCGGTGTACATCAAGCCCGAGGGGAACCGCGCCGCGAGGAAGCTCAGCTCGGACCTGGGCGCGGCGCAGCAGGGCTCGGAGAAGAAGGCCAGCGGCTCCAAGGGCGGCGGAGGACGACCTCTGCTGACGGACGAGGAGAAACTCCGGGCGCGGACCGGCGAGTGTTGCCAGCGCTGCCACTGCGCCGACGGGCCGCACCCGCCCATCAGACGCCGCCCGCGCTCGCAGCCGCGTCTCTACGCCCGCATGAGCTACCCGGCCTCCTCCACCTCGTCCGACGGCCTCTACGAGGCCATCTACCCCGAGGACGCTTACTCGAAGCGCTCCTCCCTTGACCTGGAGCGCCTCGACCGCCTCGAGAGGCTCAACCGCATCGACCGCTTCGAGCGCGACGACCGCGGCCTCGAGCACGCCTACGACCAGCGGCGCCGCTACTCGCGCTCGGCCTCGCTAGACCGCGCCGAGTCGTGGCGGTGGCGGGACGCGATGGCCGCCGAGGACGTCGACGCCGACTCCCTGTACGGCGACGCGCCAGGGTACAGGCGGCGAGCGCCCTCCCTGCCGCGCCCCACGCCCCCGCCCGCCACGCTGCCGCAGCCACCCCTCACTAACAAAACCTTCCGCCTGATCCGCCTCGTCAAGGACGACGGCGACGAGGGCCTCGGACTCTACATCTCCGGACAGCGCGCCCTCGGCTACGTCATCGCTCACATCCTCCCCGGCGGACTCACCGACAGGTACGTGACTCCTCGCGGGGAAGTTTTTCGACTGTAGGGATACCTGGCAGGTCTTTTTATTTACATCGCGCGCGCACACACACACACACACACACACACACACACACACACACACACACACACACACACACACACACACACACACACACACACACACACACACACACACACACACACAGTGAGTGAGTGAGTGAGTGAGTGAATGAATGAGTGAGTGAGAAAGAGAGAGAGAGAGAGAGAGAGAGAGAGAGAGAGAGAGAGAGAGAGAGAGAGAGAGAGAGAGAGAGAGAGAGAGAGAGAGAGAGAGAGAGACTCACCTACATACACGCCAGCCAAGCACACACGGCCTCACAGAAAGGCCCATTCAGAAAGAAAAAAAAACAACTTTCTCCAGCAGCATCCCATCTCAGCGGGGGGCGTGGGGGCGTAGGAGAGAGAGAAAGAGGGGGAGGGGGAGAGAGGGGGAGAAGGCGAGCTGCAGAGACCCCTGGCGCTATTTATGATCGCAATAATTGCGGAGACACACTTTGCTTCACGGCACCGCAGCGTCCGCGGAGGCGCTAATTTGGCCTCTCTGGTGCAACTCTTGATTTAGAGACGCCGTCGTGTGCGCGGCCTTCTTAATATCGCCGGCGTCGTAACGATCCCGGGGGAGAACTACTTGTCTCCTGGATTTGGTTGTTTGTGTTGTGCTGTTCATCTGTCTCTTTCTTTCTTTCTTCTTTTCTTCTTTGTTTTTATATTTCTGTCTTTTCTCTTTATCTTTTCTTTTTTTCGTTTTCTTTTTGTTTTCTTTTTTCGTTTTTCGTTTTGTTTTTTCTTTTAGTTCTCTTTTTCGTTTTCGTTTTCTCGTATTTCTTTTTTTTTTCGTATTATTTCTCTCTTCCACCCCCCCTCTCCCCTTCTCTCTCCTCCCCGCCGATATCTCAACAGTCGTATTAATAGCGGCGATGATTCACGCATTGCGAGGTTCCGACGCTACGAAGAGACAGATCATTTTCTCCCCCACCCCCCTCCCCCCCCTCCTATTTCCCCAACGACAGCCAAAAGCTAAAATCCGCTTTTTTTATGTTTGCCTCCTTCCCCATCTTCATCCCTTCCTTCCTTCCACGCCACAAACTGACGTGTCCCCCCACTTCCTCCCCACTCCCCACCATCCCCAACCCCATACCACCCCCCCACACTTATCCCCCCTCCCCCCCTCACCATCTCCAACCTCCTACACCCCCAATTACCCCCTCCCCCTCCCCCCCACCACCAATCTCCCCTCCTCACCATCCTCATCCTCCTACGCCGCCCTCCCCCCCCCCACTTTCCCTCCGCCCCCCCTTACCCCCCCTGGCCAAACCCTTTCATAAAGTCATCATTGCAGCCATTGCTAAGATGATGGCGATCGTATTTTACGTTCGCGCACAAAGGGGCCGCGATGGCTGTGCGCGAATGGGGGGGGGAAGGGGGAGGGAAAGCGAGGAGGGGGAGGGGGGGGGAAAGCGAGGGGGCAAGGGAGAGGGAAAGGGAGGAGGGGAAGGCACGAGGAGGAGGGGAGAAGGGGGGAGTAGAGGGGAGAGGAGGAAAGAGAAAAGGGATGAAGGGGGTAGTGGGGGGAGTAGAGGAGAGGGGAGAGGGGGGGGGCGAGGAAGAGTTTGCGGAAGGGGAGTTTTTTTTTCGGCGGCGAAACGGCGGCGGATCAGTCGGGGAAAGAAAGAAGAGGAGGAAAGAGAGGAGGAGGAGAACGCGGGGTACGAAGGACGAGGGAGGCATGGACGCAGACACTCACAAAAAAACAAACAAACACACAAACAAAAAAGAAACACACAAAAAACACATACACATATACGTACACACATACAAACAAAAAAGAAACACAAAAAACACATACACATATACGTACACACATACAAACAAAAAAGAAACACAAAAAAACACATACACATATACGTACACACATACAAACAAAAAAGAAACACACAAAAAACACATACACATATACGCACACACAAACAAACAAGAAAGAAACACACACATATGTATGTATGTATGTGTATATATATATAGAGAGAGAGAGAGAGCGCGAGCGAGGAGAGTGAGAGGATGAAAGAGCGAAAGAGCGAAAGAGGGAGAGAGGGAGAGAGGGAGAGAGGGAGAGAGGGAGAGAGGGAGAGAGAGAGAGAGAGAGAGAGAGAGAGAGAGAGAGAGAGAGAGAGAGAGAGAGAGAGAGAGAGAGAAGAGAGACAGACAGACAGACACAGACTTAGACAGTCAGACAGATAGAGAGCAAGAACGAGAGACAGGGAGAGAGAGAGAGAGAGAGAGAGAGAGAAGAGAGAGAGAGAGAGAGAGAGAGAGAGAGAGAGAGAGAGAGAGAGAGAGAGAGAGAGAAAGAGAGAGAGAGAGAGAGAGAAGAGAGACAGACAGACAGACAGTCAGACACAGACAGTCAGACACAGACAGTCAGACAGATAGAGAGCAAGAGCGAGAGCGAGGAAGCGAAGAACAGCAAGGTAGACAGAGACGCGAATTACAAATAGCTATTATTACCAGCTTCCTCCAATGTGTATAGTTTGCGACACAGGCAGCTCTCGTGTCCCGTTTTAGCACGAGGAAGAGAGCGATGGACGGAGGAGAAGCAACGACGGGCGATTAGAAGAAAGGAAAGAGACGGGGAATAACGGATGGGAAGAAAGGAAAGATGAGGACGATGAGCGGGGAATGAGGTGGATGAGGAGGAAGATATATTAGAATAATGGAGAATTGAGGAGAGAATGAGATGAATATAAGGAAAAGGGAATAAGTGGAAGAAGAATAGAGAGGAGAGATGAGGGGGGGGAAGCTGATGGAAAGGAAGAAGGAAATAATGGAGGAAGAATACGGAGAGGGCATAAGTGGAGATAAGGGAGGGTGGTAAGTGAAGGAATGATGAGGGGGGGGAGATTGAGGAGGGAATAAGACGAAAACGAAGAAAAGAAGAATGGTCGAGGAACGAGGAGAGATGAGAATGGAGGAAGAATAAAGAGAGATGAGGTAGATCAGGGTAGAAAACGATGGAGAAGCGAGGTAGATCGCGCAGAGGGAGAGAACACAGCTGTCTTTCCACGGCGCCTTGATTGTTCTCAAGGGAAGGTTATTAGTTCTCTTCCGATCCCTTCTTCCTCCCCCCCCCCCCTTCCCTGTCCTCCTCCCCTGTGTTTTTTCTCTCTCGCCATCACCATTCCCCCCCCTTCCTCTTTCGCCCTCCCTCCCTCCCTCCCTCCCCCCCCTTTCTTCTTCGTTTTTTTCCTCCTTCGCTTGTCTTCTTCTTTCCCCTCTACCTCCATTTCTCTCTTCCCCCTCCCACTTTCCCTTCAATCTCTCTCATCTCCCCCCTCCTCTCCCACCTCTCCATCCCCTCCTCCCTCTCTCCCCTCCTTTTCCCTTCCCAACCTCTCCATCCATCTCCTCTCTCTCCCTCTCCCTCTCCCTCTCTCTCCTCCCCCTCCCCTCCCCCCCCTCCTCTCTTGTCTCCTGAGAACAGACCCGATTCCTGAAAATGGGATTCGGGAATGGCACTCAAAGTCGCAACAATCTTGGAATCTTTCTTCATTCCCTTTTCCTTCGGCCATTTTACCTCTTCCCCTTCGGTTCGGGCGGACGACTTCCCTCGCACCCTTAATTCAGAATAACTGTGACCGGATAGCGCAGGGACGTCCTCCGCTGCCCCCGAAAACTCGCGAATATCTGCTCCGTATCCCACTGACTCTCTCTCCACCTTGCGCAAAACCCACTGAATATCCACACCCCTTGTTCCACGAAAACCCACATATACCCACCCCTCTCACCCTCAGAATAACCCCCTACCCCCTCTCTCACCCACAGAATACCCCCCTACCCTCCCTCTCACCCACAGAATACCCCCTACCCCCTCCCCTCTCACCCACAGAATAACCCCTACCCCTCACCCCTCTCTCACCCACTGAATACCCGCTACCCCCTCCCCTCTCTCACCCACTGAATACCCCCTACCCCCTCCCCTCTCACCCACAGAATACCCCCTACCCCCTCCCCTCTCTCACCCACTGAATACCCCCTACCCCCTCCCCTCTCACCCACAGAATACCCCCCTACCCTCCCTCTCACCCACAGAATACCCCCCTACCCTACCCTCTCACCCACAGAACACCCAGCCCACAACCTCCCCTCCCCCCCACCCCCCACCCCCACACGAAACAACCTCCCAGAACACGAAAGCAGGAAAAGCGGGCATGGAGGTGCTTGCGCTCCGAGTCTCACATAATTCCCGTCCAACCGGATCAAGGGGAACGCAAATCGAATTGTCCGGCGCGAGGCGAACCTAATTGACGACAGCTAAACCGATCTCGTGGTGCGCGGGGGCAAGAGGGCGGTGGTGGTGGTGGGGGGGGGGGATGTGGGTAGGATGGCGGGTGTGGGGGAGGTGAAAGGGGAGGGGGCGAGTGGTAGGGGTAGAGGGGGCGATAGGATGGGTGGGGTGTGAAGGAAGGGAGGGGGGAAGGGGGGACGGGGGAAGAGGCAGGCTCTCGGGGGACACTGGGCGATTTGGTGGGCGTGGGTAGGGGGTGTGGTGCGGAGGAGAGGGGAAGGGAGGGGAAGCGATGGATGGACGTACCTTGGTTTTTTATGTTTAGGTTCGTTTATTTGTTATTTCCCTTTCTATTTTTCTTTCTCTTTCTTTTTCTCTGTCTCTTCATATATCTATCCATCCATCTCTATCTGTCTATCTATATCTATCTATCTATATCTATCTATCTATATCTATCTATCTATATCTATCTATCTGTCTATCTATCTATATATATATCTTCCTCCATTCAACCAACCATCCATCCACCCATCCATCCATTCACCCACCCACCCACTCATCCATCCATCCATTCATCCACCCACCCACCCACCCACCCACTCATCCATCCACCCACCCACCCACTCATCCATCCATCCGTCTCCCTCTCTCCTTCCTTCTCCCTCACAATACCGATCTATCAGTC